GCCACGTTACAGTGAAAGCAAGTATACCTGGACGAGCTTTGTCGATAAGCAGACCACCTCGCACATCTTGTTCCGCAGACTACACACGTTCCTAAGTACTACTTGGAAGACTTCGGCACATTCAGCCTTGAGTCGTACGCAAGTAGAATAGGTTCTGACAGGGCGGAAAAGGACAGCAGGCTGACCAGCTGAAAACCCAACAATCGGAGACCTTTCCCGACAGCTGAACGCCGGGATTTTAGGTCTCTGATGGCTTTCTTTAACTTTAACCTACCCGCTAACGGAAGGTCTGATTGTACGCTAATGTTGGTACCTTTGATCTTGAAGGCAATTCGCAGTAAAGCCCTGCACTTTTCTCGGTTGGTAAGAACCACATTAAGCATACCGTGTCAAGGATTTGGTTGATCAGACGGAACGTTCCCAAACCTGATGAGCTCCCTGACAGCAAGGCCAAGGTAACCTGGTGGTAAAAGCTTGGTCACCCAGTCTAAGCCAACCAAGCTTAACAAGCATACGCTCGGTGGAGTAAGCGGCAGTAGATTCAGTGCTGTTTTTGGAAACCACACTGCTATCTGTGTAAGAATCGCCCCGACGAGGGGTATTTACTCAACATGCTCTACCACCCACACCACATGGTTTTTGACAGGAAGCAGTGGAATCGAAGGCCAGGGCATCTCATGTCTGACTGAGGGAATTTCAGCACCCGGTGATGTTTCCAGCTCATGCCCTTACAGCTTGAGCGTTTTATCACCTCCCGTTTTGTGAGCGGAGGGTCTCCTTGTTTTCCTTACCGTTATTGTTGTTTGAACAGGGGGCACGTGACTCGCCTTCCATTTTTGGGTGGGTCCGAAATGCCGTCAGAGGCACTGGAGTCAGTTATTTCTATATGAAGTGAAGCGTCCAGTTGGATGGACGACTTCACAACCAGTCGGCTATGTGCAGTCAGACTACGAGGTTCATGTAAGGTAAGCACACATCGAGAAGTTAAGCATACGCCCATACAGACTACAGCCCGGACGCAGTCAAGAATAGCTTTTACCGGCAGCTACATGAATTGCTGCATTCCTCCAAAAGGACTGATGTAGTCATTCTTGCCGGAGACTTTAACGCAAGGCTGGGCCGCCTTCCACCAAGCAAGCACCACCTTGGGGATAGTTTTGGTCTCGGTGGCAGTCGATCAGACAATGGAGATTGACTGCATGCTCTTTGCTCTGATCATCGCTTGTTTCTTTCGAACACTAGTTTTCGGCACTCGAGGTGATACGCTGCTACTTGGCGCCCACCCACACAAACGCAAAAGTGCTCCCAGCTCGGTCACATACCAATCAGTTACAGATGGCGCTGAAGCGTAAAGGACTGCCGATCGTACTGATCAACTTATCTTGACTCCGCTCGCGCACTGCTTCGTGCTAACCTTTGCATGCTTTTCGGAGGATCACTCAAGAGCGCTCACTAACGACCCGATGTCGTAAATCTACAAACCCTGCGAATTTAACCAGGTACCAAGCCTTACCGTCAACCTTGCTTGGCTCAACTATTGTCGGTGACCTCGATTCGCAGTTGGCGCAGATCAAAGATGCCTTAGTTTCCGCCAGTATCGGCACTTGTGAAATTGCCCGTCACCCAACGATGCATTGGATTTCCGCCGACTCTTTGTCGCCGATGGACAAACGCTGTCTTATCCCGTCGGATTCCAGACGCAGTGAAGAACCCCAATCTTTTAGTCGAGAATTGCGCAGTAGTCTGTAAATTGACCACGAAGCTTGTTGGTGTGAACATGCTAAGGAAATGAAACTTGCCAATCTCTCTGGTAATACCAGAAAACTTTTCTATATCATTCTAGTCACTGAAGGTGTTCGATCTGATATAAGTGAAACAATATGCGAAGAGGATGGCACCTTAATCACCAATCTTCAACGACGGTTGGATCGATGGGCTGAGCATTTTGGCTCGTGGTTTTATTGGCACGCAGCTTCATATGTTACCACTGGCGCTCGCTCTGGGGCCGAGTGGTCTACTCCCATAGACCCTCCCTCCTTCCAGGACATCAAGTAGGTGCTTCGCCACATGAAGTGTTATAAAGCCCCTGGCGCTGATGGTCTTCCTCCAGCTCTATTCAAAGATACTGGCGCTTCGCTGGTTCGAGAACATACTACTTTGTACTAGAAAGTTTCGTCGAAAGTGTAAGTGCTATCATCTTGGGGTGAATCGATAGTCGTCCCCATCTTCAAAAAGGACCTGCGTACAATCTGCTCCAACTACAGAGGCATAAGCTTAGTCCCCGTAGTTTGCAAGATACTGGTGCCCATCATACTTCGCAGGTTATCCCCAACGCTTTGTCTACTTGGGAAATTGCATCACTGCTGGCGGGGCTGTTGGAAACGAGATTTCGATGCGCATCTCGAGAGTACGCTTCGCTTTTGCTAGGCTATGGCACTTGGGGCGTCTCCACCGCACCGTCTCTCCATCAAATGGTAGGTCTATTGTGCAACTGTTGGTGCTGTGCTGTTGTACGGATGCGAGACCTGTCCCATTCGTAAAGGTGACTTGCGCAGGCTATTCGTCTTCGAGCACCGCGGTCTGCTGTCCATTGCCCTTGTGTGGTGGCAGCACCACGTAAGCGATGTTGAAGTTAGACAACGTGTCTTTGGACGAGGAATGTACTCGCTCAAGTAGCTCGTCTCACTGCATCAACTTCGGTGGCTGGGACACGTATTGCGCATGCCTGTCCAGCGTTACCCCGTCGTGCGTTGTTTGTGGTTGCTGGACAAGGCTAGAAGAGACGGTCTCGTAGCCAGCCTGCAACTTGGAGAAGCCGCATAAGAAAAGCTGACGGAACAGTTGGTCTCGGCCGGTTGTTGTCGACTATCTGGTTGGGGTCCGAGAGATGCGGATATTTGCTGGCTGAAGACCTTGGAAACCATGGCTCAAGATCGATGTAACTGGCGGACGTGTGCATCGGTTTGTTGCTGTGTCCCTCCTTCCTCCCCCTAAAATATAAACTGCGAAAATTTTTAAAGTTGTGAGGTGCAACCTAGACGAAAAAGCTTGTGTTGCTGTTGTTATTAGTGTTATTTCCTTATTATTCATACTGTTTTCATATTCAGCCATGATTCCGATGGCACAATATCTATCCCACAGGTTGTGTATACCATATATGTATATATATATATATATATATATATATATATTGAAAAAGGTAACGCAGGTCCGTGGCTGTCACCCATGGCGAAATTGCGCTAGCTGCTGCCATCCTGAAGTCATGGGGGCGGAACCCAGCAGGGGTCTGTTGGGATGCGCACCACTGACAAGACTCAGAAGATCTGGTGCTTTTCCAGAATAGCCTAAGCCTGATGATTGGGTGTGACGATGATGAATCAGTTGAATTAACTAAATAAATAATTACTACTAAATGGCTTATTCTCCATAACGCAGCACGCCTATACAAGCATGGTCATGGGGACAGGACCATCGGTGAGGAGAAATGTACAAAAATTCATATTTGACATAATGGTGAATGAATATATGTGAGTGTATATATGTACGTAATTGTGAGTGTGTGCAACTGTGTCGCTTGCTTTTGTATGTGCGCCGATGTAATTTTGACTGTCTGCTCGCAGCCCCAATGTGAGAAGTGATGATTGATATCCGTGTATTGGTTATGCTTATGCGGATAAGCAACTGGCAGTAGCTTTAACTTGTGACGAGCCACAACTGGTTGGGGGTAATCTGATGCTGCATGAGCCAGAATGATTTTAGAGAGGACTTTGTAATGATCTTCACATTGACTGACTTGCACGTTACCGGCCACGTGACACCAGATAAAGGAGAAGTAATTGTACGCTAATGTCAACAGATACAATCTATGAAGGTCGTTGTCCATGCCAGTTAGACCTAGCACATTTACCCTAAGCGCTTGGCTCCAATGATTGAGTTTTAGGAGAGACAGGGCCATCGAAAATCTTCCAACTGAAAGTTAGACAAGGATGCTGAGCTTGTTCGGCATTCTCGCATCGATCTATGTGGAACAAATGGCTCTAGCGGCATTCAGAAGGAGACTACTGACACATATCAGTAAATCACGGGGTTAATCAAACCGTTGTTACAAATTAAGTTCGAAGCTCCTCGGGAAAAGCTATGTCAGTTGATTTTGCTAACATGTTTGAAAGTCATGCGGTGCACCGGTGGGATGAGGCGTTCAGAGCTCACATAGTTTTGTCTACATAACCGTTACTAAATGGCATGGTATTCCATTACCGGACAACTTGAGCTCTTTGTTGATCATCTTGTATGCCTGAATTTTCCAATCCGGCTTCTGTTCTTTTCACTTTCACCTACCAGTGGAGAGTACTTGGTGACCAATGGTTGATCATTTTAATTTTTCTGTTACTTTTTTGTTATGGTATCGCGAAGAAGTAGTGATTGCACCCTGGTCATTTAATTGTGCCGGTTTTCGCTGATCTGAGCCATAATGCAACCATTTTCAGATAGTGAAATCCGAATCTGGGGATAGGCGAGACCTAAGTTTGAATATTTCAATCAATTTCAGCGTCTCCCCCGTTCACATGTCATCTTTCTCATTCATCACAATTTTCAGCGTTTTACGGCCCTGTGCTTTGGCCACATCTAAAATCACTGAGCCACCTAGTGCGTCAGGTTACCATCGATACACTAGGTCCCACGTGCTATCATGGCAAGTTTATTGAAGAAGTTAAAGAAGGCACGATAAACGCTTTTTTTAACTGAGTTCGTTGTCATGGTGACATTTCATTTGAGCTGCTAGACTGTATTTAACAGCTGGCTTGTTGTGTAATCTTAGTTAGCGGAAGGAAAAACTGCTTTTTATGCGAAAAAAGCCGAGAAGTTATGTTGATTAACTTTCATGCTTTTGTGATGAAATTCAAATTCCGGTTTTTCCGCTTGGACTGTCCAGTGTCTCGAGGAACTCAGCTGAATACCGATGAACTAATCTCCGCTTTCGCCGTCCTCCTTGATGAATCTCATCTCACTTCGATACCCGTATTGACAGGTTCCGCAAAGCTGACATTCTTGTACCGTTCATGCCCACGTTCATCGATGTGCTGTAATGAAAAAAATTGTTTAGAGTGATGAAATTACCATGTTTCCCACCCCTACACTCAAATTATACTCACCAATAGACAATGGGTTATCATGCCGTAAGTGACGACAATTAACTTGTCCCATAGGAGAGATAGCCAAAATCGTGACCCACTAGGAGCCATATGGGTCACATGCCGGCCCGTAGCTTTAAGCATTAAAACCCTGCTTTGTAATCTGAGGATGCGAGTTCAAGCCTGGGTAGGGCCCGGGCGACACTCGCAGTCTACTTATTCCACGTGCGACTGGTGGTGGCTGCGGGGCAACTAAACGTCGGTACCACGTACCGGCGCACTGCTGATGCCTCTCTTTCTTTCTTTCTGTCTACATAGGTCATGTTTTCAGCCACGAGGGCCGCACACGGCAAATAATTGCAGGATATATATATATATATATATATATATATATATATATATATGCCTGGCGGCATCCGGTTAGGGATTGGCCTCTTACTACGACTGCGAACAGTCAAAGGACGTCTGCGTCGACTGAGGGATTGTAGTTGGCTTGTACTTCACCAACAACAACTCAGTCATTGCGCCGCGTAAGTCTGAAAGACATATGAATAGGAACCATGGATATTTGGGAACCGGCTTACACCTTCTCCACATGCAGATCATTCATATGAATGCAGCGAAATATGCATACCAGATAGGGTGTGTGGATGGAGCTGTGGGCGGTGCAACGCAAGTCACCCATGGTCCCTCTATAGGCGCAAGCGTTTTGGCTGTCCTACGAAATCTGCAGTGGCAGACAAATCCGGAACCGGGTGCCACCAATTATATATGCAGCAGCAGAGTCCATGGTGCACTGAGATTGGTGGTTTCTAGATCCTGATGGATCGTCGACCAGCTCCTGCTAATGTTGTGCCGTGAGCTCGTGTCCTTGACGTTTCCTGTGACGACAGTTGGGTGGGATTCGGGTTCCGCCCTTCTACTACCTACTGGCCAGGTCACACACGTAACTCCTGGCGCATGACTGGCTGCCAGGACTCATTTCCACACAAAAATACAGTACAAACACAGACGTTGTAGAACTGGTCCTTTAACGAGAGGGAAACGTCACAACTACGCCACGAATGCCTCAGAGCAGCGAAAATCGACTGAGCTCTGGCCATAGGAAGAAAATGCGTCCTTCAAATGGTGTCTTCAGCACAGACGTAGCCCCCGAAGTGGATGCAGCTATCCACTTGCTCAAGCTGCATGCCTTCAAGAGTCAGGATTGTGAAATGTGGATGCCAATAGGAGAGTGGGACTGCTTTTCATGCGGATAACTGTCATACCATATTCGCTCCCTTCAGTCGATAAGAGGTTTAGAATGACCTGCATGCTCTGTAGCTCGTCACTGAGCAAGGCAAAATAAACAGCATAGTTCAAGTCAGTCGCGCTCTACTCCAGAAACATGGAGACTTTCCAGAGAGATAAATAAGCGTATACGCAACCGCAAAGTGGAAGAGAAAGGGGGAGGTCGGGCACCCCAGTTGTACAGCGCTTGCGACGGCGAAAGGTGAAGAGAGCTTACCGCATGCTCTCACTCTGTCCTGGAGTTTTCTGTATAAATCTGGAAGGACGGTGGTGTACTTTACGAGCATCTTATTCTTTTGCAGCCGACGTGGTAAACTAGGCTGAACGCAACTCGAATGTCCAAAATGTCTGCAATGGAAGGCAGGCAGTGAGTTGATGCAGCTCGGGGAGTTGGTCGTGCAGAAACATGTGATCCAACAGCCTCAATCGGAGCGGAAACCAGCCTGTTCTTCACGGGAATGTAGTTATCGAATCGGCGTTAACCTGCGCAGTAGAATGGATGTTAACCATATGAAAGTGACATATTAAGGTGACTCCTCTATGGTTGGTCTATTAAGGTATGGCACGCATTTGGAAGATTTGTACGATAAGCATTTCCTCAGGGGGTGGAACATTTTCTTCACACCAAATCGAAGAGTAGAGGGCAGTTTTCTGATTGACAATTACCTCGCCACTGTGTTTGAACGGATTGTATGGAAGTCTACCTTGTCCGGCAAACCTGAATCGCTTCAACGGAAGGAACTCAAGCGGGACCTCTGCTTCAGTGGGTGAAACGTTCGAGTATGCGCAATTAGGCCTACTTGTTAGAATGACGGAAGGGGGAGGCTAAGTGAATTGAGAGTGGAAGTGCTCAATCCAGTGGTTTACTCGCCTAGGTACATTAGTGGTTAATAATCCAACAGTCTAGCAGACAGTAGCTAATTTGTCATTTCCGTTCTTCACGATTACCGAAATGAATTGAGTCCACTTACGATGACACATGTCGTCATGATGAATGAACTTGGAAACAACTGGCAAATGGGCTCTAAAGCACATGTATGGGAACAAAAAGATGGGAAAGTTGTCGTGCTTAGAATATCTCGTAAATATACAAATCAATAAAGGTATGCAATATCGACATGTTCGAATGTGTCATCCAAGTAATGTGGCTGATCACAATTACCCCGTTTATCTCGAATGTGTTTACCTGCAAGACGAAGATTCCTCATACTCCTTAATCACCACAACAACAGCTAACCTGGATGTCCTACCCGACAAGGTGAAATAACAGCAGAAAACGCACGATTTCCTAAGTAGCCTCCAGTCATTGAAGCGAGTGTCCCAGTTGACATATACAATTCACTTTCAAACGACTTTCAACCACCAGCTTACGGAACATTGTCGCTCACTCGGTGCTACTATCAACCATACATTGGCTTTTGCAAAGATAGGTGGATTAAGACGGCAAACCTATTAAGGTCGTGGATGCTCATACATACAATGACTACGGTCACAAGTCAAAGTTTCCCCTCCTGTCCCTTGCTCAGGCTTTAGACGAGCTTATATCGTGTGTTCTCTGTAGATGTTTGAAGCTTTTGCAAGGCTGGACTGCAGTCCACGTGGGTGGCATGAGGACACCTGATAAATGTTTTCAGTCCAAAAATGGTGTATAAAGAATTCTGTGTCAACGCATAGTTTCCGGACTGGGACGCTCATATTGTAGCAAAAACGACGCGGTAACGAAGCGGAAGTTTCAGTGACGTGTTCACAAGCTATCAGATCACTCACACAGACGCACATAATAAATCAGTCACGTCCCCTTCCCACGATGCACTATTACTCCTGGCGTCCATGCATTTCTCATTTCACCCCCGTGACTCAGCTTCTACGCGTCCCGTTCTGATCGGCCCCGAGTTCTTCGGAAGCTCGTGATTTGTTTAATCGTGGATGCATCACTCTGATCAAGGTCCTTTCTGGAGTCTGCAATAACGGCGCTTTGCCCGATCTATTGCGTTTTCGATGAATACCCGCTCTGTTAGGCTGGGCTCAGATTCAATACCGGTCGCCACTTCTGACAGCTTCTGGCCTCATTCCGTCTGGCCAGTGTGATTTCGTCTATCCTAGCTTATTGCGCCTGTTCCTGTTTCCGTCCGCCCCCGTTTTCATGTTGTTTCTGTCCACCGAGCAAGCATTATCTTCCGCCTCCCTACAATATGACTAACACCTAGGCCGTTTGGAAAACACAAGCACCCAGGCAGCACCGGGAATCATAAGCATGAACATGAAACGCTGTTTCCGGCTGGATCCACAATCATAGTTGTAGGCAAACCGTTCAGCGTCGGGGGGATAGCAGCGTTGTTTCTTTATGTCTTCTTCATTTTCAATGTTTATTACAATACATTGTGGCACTAAGTATGATAACTGGATATTACCTGCTGGTACAATGAAGTCACTCATCCGAGTTGGTTCTGGGTTTCTGAGATCATCACATTTCGGTGTACAAGATACCGCTGTCTGATCAGCTGTCAGGAAATGTTGGTTACACAGTATTTCAGCTATTCCACCCTGAACTGACGTACGGGTTTCTGATATTTTAGTATTCTTCAGTGGTGTTTAACCCTAACCTGTCTCATATGCAGGTAACTCTCGGTCACTGTATGCTAGCAGCTTTAATCGTTGATATCTTAGTGGATTTAGGTTATCGGTACTGTCTGCAGCAGCCGGGTGTTGTTTCACAATGTCGCTTCTCCTATAAATTGTTTCGCTGAGCTGCATCTCCCTTGAATACATAAACATGATAAACACGTGAACTTCTGTGCCCCTCAACGTGCAAACCGCCTTCGTCCTTGGAGTTTATCAAATTTCGTTTATAGTAAAAATTGAAAGAAGGTGGCTTCAGAAATCCGAAACCTACTAACTAAACAGTCTTCATTCCATGTGGTCGGAAATTAAGTGAGACCGGCTGTTAGAATATCTCCCCTGAAACCAATTGAATTTGTCAGACATGCCTGACAACATAGTGATTTAAACTGTTCTTACACACTGTTGACATACTGGTCACATCTGAAGTAACAAGTATATATATATATATATATATATATATATATATATATATATATATATATATATATATATATATATATATATATATATATATATATATATATATATATATATATATATATATATATATATATATATATATATATATATATATATATATATATATATAAGCCTACCGTATCAGTTTCCGGATTTGTCTTTCACTGAGAACGGTCACAGAACGCCTGCGCCTACAGAGGGAACATGGGCGGCTTGCGCTGCACCACCTGCAGCTCCATACGCACACCCCATATCTATATATAGTGTAAACCCAAAGGAATACGACCGTCAGGCGTGTGAATGCGAGCCATCTTTCATCAACGGAGCCGGCCTATACTCGTTCGACATGCACAACTATAGAGGAAGGAGCATCCGTGTCTATATTTGTGGACAATCATGCGTACCAGACGTATAGAAGGCAGTGGCTGGGCCGTAATCCGTTCCACACTGGATGGAACCACAGTTTGAGATTAGCACAATCCTGAGGACGGTGCATACCGTCCCCCTAGCAACGATTCAATCTCCTGAAACCAGTAATTGAGGTGGAGGGTGTTAGACAGATAGGCACATTGAGAACATTCACGTTTAGCGCAACCACACTGGATATATATATATATATATATATATATATATATATATATATATATATATATATATATATATATATATATATATATATATATATATATGGTCCTCTTGACCAGGTTAGCCTCAGATAGTGGTTCAATCCAGTGTGGAGCGGACTACGGCCCAGCTACCGCCTTGTGTACGTGTGGTACGCATCATTCCCGAAATTAGATAGTCAGGAATGCTGCTGTTGTGCATTTCGAACAACTGTGGACCGGTTCCGTTGATGAAAGATGGCTCCCATCCACATGGCTGCAGGTCTTATTCCTTCGAGTTTACGCTGGATATGGGGTGTGGATGGAGCTGTTTATGGTGCATCGCAAGCCACCGATAGCCCATCAGTAGGCGTACGCTTCCTGTGGTTTACCTATGGATGCCGCAGTGCTCGGCAAGTCCGGAAGCGGATGCTATCAACCACATGTTATAGCAAATTTTTATCTAAATCGACATCTGTATTATGACTAGTGAAGCTTCAATTCAATGATACAGGTTTTGCTTCGTCGTTAACTCTTACGAATGACGCTGGAAATATGTCCTTACTTGGAACATGTACCCATCAGGGCTGATCTGCTCCTTGGATAAGAATCCAGCAGGACAGCAAGGGCATACTTCTTTGGGGACATAATCCAGGCGGTAGTTAGTACGATCATCGAAAGGACCGCTGTCTAGTCTTGTCTCCTTCGGCATGGCTTTTTCAGGTATGGTAATACATGGATGTGCCACATAGTTCGCCTGTAATAGAATGTGGTGACATACACAAGGATATGCAACTCAAATAGTCTGTTTTGGAAAATTGTACCACTTATATACTGGAATCTGAATCTACGATGTCAATGCTTATCAATGAGCTGCACACTGATTCCATCTAACAGGGTATAGCACCACTGTGCGAAGCTTTTTTCATGTGTGTGAAGTGTCCACATCTACCATTCTTTCACAATGTGCGTTTACTTGAAGATGTGGAACGGTGATACGGTCAGTAGGCCGTTTATGCTTGGAGGTTTGTGTGACTGCAGCTGTAAATATACCATGGCTTGAAACATGTTAGCGATTACAGTTGAAGTTTGTTAGCAATAACCACGCATCACAACCAAAAACCATGTTGCAGCGATTCATTTTAAGCTGATCACCTGTGAAGTATAACGCAACGTTTCCTCTTCTTATATAGACAGTCTATTTACTTATTCTTCGTTTTGATGGATCTCGAGTTGCAGTGTTATTACAAAAAGAATAAGATAGGCCTAGTGTATGCACAGCTTTTTTGCAGCATGTTTTAAGTGTAGCCACTTTGCTGCTTAGCATGTGTGATTCGAGTGTGAGCCACATGATGTGCTTGGCTGTTTATCAGATATTCTCACATTTTTTAACTGAAGTTCTAGGGTAGCATGCACTGTGGCATAAAATTTGACACTGAAAAACGGTTTGTCTTACACGATTAGTGGTAGTGCCATCAAATGGTACATCTGAAGGGCTCCATTCTGCTGGTTTCTGAGGCGATTTTGGGACCACATCCCATGGCTTATAGTCATGCCGGTAGTTGGTTGTACCATCGAATTTTGCATCACACTTTCTGGTGTCGCATATTTTCACCGGTATGGCTGGACACGGATTCTTCTGCACGGGGAGAGAATAAGCAATACCGAACGGGATTATACTACATCTCATCATAGAAAGCTGGCAAGAACTGTCATTCAGTAAGGTGAGACAAACTAGCATATTTCTAAGTAAGTTCCCCGTTAACCGAATGAACTTCGAGGCAGTTAATGCATCAAAGAACTACTTCATGATGACACCTGATTGGTTACAAAAAGAAAGTACGCTAACCTGAGTTCCAACCATGTATGGCAAAACTGTGAGCTAAATCTACTTCTTTAAGCGTATATGGATGACCTACTTTCATTCCATTTCTTTTAAGTGCGATATGCAGTCGTAGTTTAGACGCCACTTTACTATCTTGTATCTCCCCAGGAATCAGCAGAGTTTACCCATCAGTCACATGAGTACACTGGATTATCGCGGCTTTGAATAAACTCACAGACATAGATATACCACTGAATGTTGTGTATGGTTAGAAACAGGCATGGGTGGCTGGCTTCCCGAACTACCTCCTGGTGGTTACAGCCCGGTGGTTGGGGATTATCCCGTTCCAGCGAAAGGTTCGACGGCAGTATTCCAGGGCGGGGTGGGTTTCCGCCATCCAAGCGTTCTCCCTACAAGAAACCACATATACCCGTTTGATAACACTGTGACGTGGAGGATGAGATTCGCCACTAAATAAAGTCGCTGCCCTTTGTTTCACTTCGCTGAAGCATTGTAATCATTTAGCTTGACGCTGAATTACTGGGAGTATTGGGCCCTTGTTTGGCACCCCGCCAAACGAAAGGCGTATGAACCGAGCATTCGGTCACCGGCTCCCAGTAGGCACAATTCCTTGACTTCGCCCCGCTGCCTTGTGGGTCAAGTCCCCATGACCGAAGGCTTCAAGTAAGGCTCCCTAAGTCAACCCGTTTTCACGGCCTAGATAGCCGGGAAGCCGTATGCCCACATAACAAGAAATGATGGATTTAAGACTCTTTGCCCAAGTTTATCGCTCCCTGAACTCTCTCTATGGCAGAGTTGCAGACGGCCGGGCATGCTAAACCTCTACCGCACCGCAAACCACGTTCATCGTTCCACGTTTATTCAGCCCTCCCGTTCTTGGCAATCCCCCTTCAATTTCGAGTCACCAAAAGTGCATTGCAAATAAAAACGGTATCTTTGGCCTCCTCAAGGAATCGTTGAAAACCGATCGCACACACTCCAATACCAACAGTAAGGCTTTTATTGCACCCCGCTTGCTCTTCAGGCTACCGCCGTTCAGTGTACGAACGCTCATGCAGGTTGGTTCACAAGCTGCTCTTGCGCGCACCTTGGAAACCCCCTCAATCGATGTTTGTTGCCCAAATGTAACCCCGTTTACAAGGCTTCAGCACAACGCTGCGATTGCTCTCACCATCTCCAAGTTCCAATTGCACATACACCTTGCGCCCATCTGGACATGCGACAGCGGCAGCCTCTGATTGCGTAGGAGTTGCGTTAAGCGCGCGTGCCGAGACCGAGATCATTTTGTGTTTCCCGGTCAACAGCTGTCTTTGTGCAGTTTGCTTGGAAAGCTCAGTGGGATCGTCCGGCCACGGGACCAGTAGACGCTGCTTATTGATTGTGACGGCGCAGGCCCCTACGGAGTGCAACCCGAAGGAACCTACAACTCACAGACCACCTCCGCAAGAAACGCCGCAAGGACACAGTGATACTCGCCTGATACCTAAATGCGCAGATCGGTAGACTAGAGGTTCATGAACGTGAACTTAGGGGTCAACCCAGCCACGGTACTCGCAGGACGGACAACGGCGATCGACTCTTTCAACAGTGCGCCGGCCATCGATTGTTTACTACGAACACCAATTTCCGGCGTCCCTGCCGCCAACGAGCCACCTGCCGACCACCCGTGACTGGTCAAGCTAGGACACAAATTGTCCACGTGGCTGTAAGTTATCGTTGGTCAGGCTGCTTAACGGACTGTGAGTCAGTTTGGAAGACTTAGTTGACTTCGGATCATGCGCTGATGTGTGTTTAAGTCGTTCTGCGCTTTGGAGGCACCCAACAGCGTCGCCGGAAAAAGCTTAAGACAGACGTGCTTGCCGCCCCAAATGTTCTCGGCGCATTTCAAAACACAAAAGCTTCTAACCTGCGTCCTCTATCCTTCGATGTTGAGACACACCGGGCACAGATTCAGAGGGCCTTACAAAATCTGCTACCCTGGTCTGTGGCTGTTAGTCATTGGATGTCCGCACAGTCTCTCCAATTAATGGAAAGCCGTCGAGCAATTTCCGCCGGAGTCGAGTACAACACCCTACGCAGAATCACGGGTGCTGGGTTCAGACAGCCTCTCACAAAGGATTGAGAAGTTTGGCGGAAACAACAAGTCGTCGAGATTTAGCGGACGGCCTCCGCAGGAAACTCCGACAAATGCTTGCAAAACTTTCTGTCCAAGTGAGACAGAATACCAACAGTGAGTGAGGTTTTGCGTGAAGAGGACGGCGAATTGAAGCACAGTCGTCTGCTACGCTGGACAGACCACCTTAAGATCAGTTTAACTGGCCACTAGCAAAACCGAGTCTAGCTTCCGGGATTCACAGCGTCCCCTAGTGCGTAGGTCTTTCTGCACGGACTAAGGCTGTGTTTTATAATGAGCTTCACCTGATAAAGCGCCACAAGTCAACTGGCCCCGATGAACTTCCTCTTGCCCTCTTAAAATAGTGGAGTCTTGTTCTCACCCGAGAAATAACAACCCCCTTTCATCAGATTTGGTCTACCCGAACCATTCCATCGGACTGATAATAACTGGATGTCGTAGCTGTTTACAATAAAGGTGACGGGACCATTCGTTCCAAGCATCATAACATCAGTATTATTTGTGTCGCAACCAAACGGTTTCCATCCCTACCCTTGCGATGGCTCATTTGCACACGGGACTTACACCTGTGTGCAAAGTAAGATGCGTTTCGCCCTGGTCGCAGTTGCGTTGATCATATCTTTACCAACTGCCTGATATTTGAACACTGCCAAACGTTCAGTTGATCAAGCTCCGTTGTATTCTTATACATTCATGCCGCGTTTGACTCTGTTGACAGAGTATCTCATTGGGACTGCTTACTGACGAGAGGAGTACCAGAGAAGTACATAAGCATTCTCCGTGCCGTTTACCGTCTAACTTCGGGCGGAGTGAGATTGTGCGGAGAGTTTCCGTGCCATCAGTATCACTAGTGGTGTTAGACAGGGTTGTCCAGCCTCCCCCGTATTGTTCAACTTCGCAATGGACGAGATCCTGGATATTACTCTAGAAAATGTTTAGTCTTGTGGCGTCGATCTAATCCCGGATGAGCGCATTCGGGACTAGGAGAACACACCTGACGTCGCTCTGATTTGTGAGCCCACCCTTGACGCCAAGCATGTAATGGTTAGACTAGAGATGTCCGCCTGCTGATTTGGATTGACCTTTGCTTCTTCCAGGTGTAAAGTACTGTTACAGGACTGGTCAAGTTCATCTTCTTATCTCACTTGTTAGGGGCATCCGCTGGAAGTGATCGACAAATTCAGTTATCTTGAGTGCTGTTAGGGTTGGCTGTATGACGGATGAAATGTTCTTGCGTGTCTCCAAGTCTGTGGTAGCTTTTACTAACCTCCGTCACCTGTGGCTTCGTTGTGACCTCAGCGTCGCTCTCAAGGGACGAGTCTACAATGTTGAGATCCGAGCGATTCTGTTGCACTGCTGCGACACTTGGCTCGTTGGCAAAATAGATGTTCAGCGGCTATCCGCTTTTGATCACGGCTGCCCGCGAAGCTTTGCTGCTGTTCGACGGCAGCATCCCATTAGTAATGAGGAGGTCCATCAACGAGCCTCCAAGCCCGACAAACTCCGCTGACTAATTGACTTCGCCGTTACACTGCGGAGGCTACGCTGGCTTGTACATGTGATTCGCATGTTTACCCATCAGCTCCCAGCACATGATCCATTTGTGACAGCAGGCGTACGATGGAAACGACGAAAAGGAGGCCAGTATAAAGCTGGATACATTGCGTTAATGCGAAATAAATCGTACCTGTTTGGAGAATTCCAGATACTTGGGTTGGGGAGCAAATGATCCCAAGCAAATGTGGCTGCGAACGTTATTGGATTTGGTCAAGAACCGTACGCAGTGGCGTACTTGCTGTATGACTGTTCTTCACAAAATGCCGTTTTCCTTTTCAACCTAGTACTTTTCTCGTATGTGATTTGGCACTCAGCCAAGTGTTTTGCTAAAGTGTCAAACACGCGTTATATATATATATATATATATATATATATATATATATATATATATATATATATATATATATATATATTGTTGCTGGTATCGGTTTCGGGTTTGCTTGTCACTGTGGCCAGTCACAGGACGCCTGCGCCTACAGAGGGACCATGGGGGGCTTGCGCTGCACCAACCACAGCTCCAACCACACACCCCATATCCAGTGTAAACCCGAAGGAATAAGACCGGGATGCATGTGGATGGGAGCCACGTTTCATCAACGGAGCCGGTCCACACTCCTTCACAGGCAAACACAACCACGTTGTATTTGGAGAATCAAGTACACATAAGGCGGTAGCTGGACCGTAGTCCGCTCCACACTGAGGGCATGGAACCACTCTTTGATCCTAACATGGCCACAGGGACCGTGCATCCCGTCCCCTCCAGCAACGACCAACTGTTTCCTGGAGCCAGATGGACGAGGCAATGGGTAATAGACAGGTAGTCACCTTGTCAATATGCATATCAAGCGCAGCCACACCTGGGATGTCAACCAACAGCCAATCACTTGAAATAACATTATCAAATAAAGTATATCTATTAAAATATACGGCTAGCAGACATAACTTTTCGCTAAATAAGCATATGAGGTAAGTTAGTTAACAATGTATCCGGGATAAGTACAAGTTCAGGTTCAAGTTCGAGTGGGACTGGAACGATAGGAGAATCCCGTGAATGTTCCGTCTTGCGTGGATCGTTGAGCCAGGAATCGATAAAATGTTCAGA